TGTATATATATATATATATAAATGTATATAGAATAAAACTAATAATAAAAATAATAATAAAAACTTGAATGAGCATCAAAAATACATGTTCCTTTAGCATCAAAAGCATTCCAAATTTTTCATTGTGTATCTGAACTTTTTATAGGATCTGCTTTTCTTCTTTTTCTTTTCAAAAGAGAAGAAAAAGAAAGGTGATTTACAAGAAGTTCAGGTAAAGAAGAAGCAGGTAAAAAAAGGATAGATTTTCTATTGTGAGTTAAGAAAATATTAACTTAAAGAAGAATTTTATGTAAAAAATAAGATTAAGAAGAATTTTGTACAATTTCAGAATATAAATATTCATTTAATATTCGCGAATAATGACACAATTAACAATTGAGAATAGAAGCAAAAATAATCTAATTTCAAATAAAGTACAATAAGAATAGAAGCACGTATTAAAGAAAATGTTAAGTTGAAAAAAATTATAAAAGATTAAAAGAAAAATGTATTGTTCGATAATAAATTATTTCGTAGGAATGAGACGTAAACCAATGTTTAAGAAATGATACATACGGTTTTTTTGCAAAAGCTTTTATAAAAAAACGACACAATGAGCACGATGCAACTTACATTATATTTTTCTGGTAGTTCACAATAAGCATCGAGATTTACGGCTCAAGCAGAAATTAGATTGAATAACGCTTATGCATGCGCACAAAATAAGAAAATAGGTTAGAAAAGACAAAAAGCTCTCCAAATTTATTAAAGTACGCAAAAGCATTACGAAGAGAAAAGATGTTTTTTGGTATCTACGAGAATTTATCTTACCTAGTAAAGATTTTCTTCGTGAAAAGGAAGTTAGTTGATGCAAATTTTCTGACTCTCACTTTACTACGATTATTGGATTCTTCTAAAGAAACCGGTATAATATAGCACTGTATATAAACGATGTAAAGTTTCAGCCGATCTCTGTGTTTTTTTTTAAAGAGAAACTAAATCTGCGTCTATATTCAGAACGAAAGCAAAAACGGAGGAAACTGAACACATGTAAAAAGTGTATGATCACGTTTTTAGCTAGCTCTAATAGAAATGAATTCCAAAACGATAGAACTCTCTAGTCTGTCGACCCTCTCAGTCTCTTTAGCCAAGCACCTTTGAGTCTCTATAGTCAAGCTCCTATTTATATATGCTGGTCCTTAGATGAGCCAGGTTTCAGACGCATGCGCGTCCAATGTATACGTGTGTAATGTAACGTACCAACCACTAGTAAATATTTTATTGTGCGGAGCCCTTAACAACACTGAGTTAAGTAATAGCAAGAGCAGAAATAATTCAAAATTTTTGAACACATAAGCTGTAGTCAAAGTCTCGCTACAAATGCTTTGAAGCATTTGATGGACCAATTAGAAGAAAAAATTTTACAAACTGACCAATTAAAAAACGCTTCAAAGCGTTTGCAGTCGTTAACTACTACCCATAGAGCAGCTAGCAATATTGATCTAGTTTCCACCAAGGGTTTAATCCGGATTAGAATGTAGAAATTGTGGAAGACGATCAAATCTTTATCTCTTTCCACTCAAGGATATAACGAGAGAGAGAATGAGAGGGAAATTGACCGTCTTCCACGGTTCCTCTTTCTCATTTTCGTTGATCATGTAATGAGTTTTCCATTTGATGAGTCGACACAAATGTCATTCTATCTTTGTCACTCTCTGAATATCAACAAGGATAAAATGACTGCTTGTGTCGCCTTGTGTTATCAAATGGAAAACATTAATGGCTTCTGCACACGGAACGTTCTGGACGCGGAAACGCTTGTAACAAAATGTAATGCGGTAGCTAATAAGCTTATAGTTCCTAATGTGTTTATTGATTATCGCTCATTTTGCTCATTTTTCGCAGCAAGTGTTTCTGCATCCAGTGTGCAGGAGCCATAAGAGTGCCTATCCATGCAGTGGAATAGTCGAACAAGAGCAGAACCAATCACAAGTATTCCACACTAACTACAATTGGTGTGGAATGCTTGTGATTGGTTTCGTTCTCGTTTCGCATTCCGTTGTATGGATTCACCCTTAAAGGTGAAATTATACGGTGCAGAAAACGACTATGAAATAGAGAATGCATCATAGATGTAACCACTCAATGTTATTCTGCGTTATTCCGAATAGTTAGTTCCGAATTGGTTGTTTCAATGATTTTCCATCGAGAGTTTAATCTGGATCAAAATGTAAGAACCAACCAACTATAATCGAGCATTTCCCTCTCGTTCGATTATAAGGGAAATACTCGACTGTAGTTGGTTGGTTCTTACATTCTAATCCGGTTTAAATCCTCGATGGAAACTAGGCTGTATGTTATTCTGGAATTTAAAGTGCAATATGTTTAATTATAAATGTCACGCATGAATGACAGAATGTGTAAATTTAATTAAGAAATTGTGTAAAAAAAGAAATTCATAATATATTCTCATATTATGTTAAACAAATATTCAAAGTATAGTTTATTAATTTATCTTATTTTTTCTTTCTTCGTTTTGCATATTGGAACTTTAATAAACAAAATTTTCCAATTAAAAATGCACAAAATAAATTTTATATTACAAGAATTGACCCGCCAACACTTGAAAGTTGGATAGAAACTTGATGGAAGTGTATTAGATGTGCGCATTTTGAACATAAGAAGAGCGATATTCAGGAGCTGACATATCGCGGTTATTTAAAGTTAGTATTATGTTAGTATTAAAATGGGGAACACAGATTCTTGCATGACGCATAATACATAAGATTTAAGAAATCCAACCAACCAGAGTTCTTTATTTCATGGAAAGAAAGGAAAAAAAGGATTTTTTGGAAAGAAAGGAAAAAAAGGACTTTGATTGGTCAAAAGTTAGAAGTTGAAAATTGTGATTGGTCAATTTTCAACTTTTAACTTCTAATTTATGACTAATGGCTAATTGTAGAATGCGTATAAGGCAACAGCACAAACTTTTGCATAACACATAATGCATAAGAACAGTAAAATCTTTCTTTTCTTTTCATTTCATGGAAAAGAAGAATTTCGGTTGATTCCCTTATACACTATGCATTATGTGTTATGTAAAGCGGAGAGCATGGTCTTAAGAACACACAAATCATCAGAGGGCTGCATTAGCGTCTTAAGACATTACTTATTAGTCTTGAAATAAGAACTGACTAAAGCCGATATACAAGGCCTATGAATAGCGGCCTATGAATATTGGTCATAATCGAATCTTATTTCAATACTGTCTTAAGGCCGGTATTCATAGTCGAATTGTATTTCAAGATCGTATTAAGTAATGTTTTAAGACGCTAATGCAGCCTTTCGATTGGTTTGTAACTTCTTAGAGATTCAAGACCGTACTTAAGGTCTTGAATATAAGATCTGACTATGAGTACCGGCTTAAGTAATATCTTAAGACGCTAATGCAGTCTTCTGATTAGTTCGTGATTTCTTAAGACCGTAAGATGATCTTGAATATAAGATCTAACTATTCGTTCATACCGTTTTTTGCATGATATGCATAGAAGTATATAAGTTCGTTCCGTTTCTCTTCATGCACACTCGCTGCAAGCATGATTCAACCTACCGCCAATTGCATGACTTCACCTCTTCCGGTACATGAGAGTGCCTCACCTCTCGAGCTGAGGCAGTTCATGCAGCTTATGCATTCAACATATTTTAGCGCGAAACTGAAATCATGGATGGTTCGGCTGGGGGCAAGTGTAATCAAAATCACGTAAAGGTTAAAGATACGTAAGTAGGGAATATCCAAAAATTTTTTTAATTTAACATTTCATATATATAATATATATACAGTATAATACTCTGGTATTATCGAAAAATTATGCGTATACTGATATTATGAAAATTTCGGTTGAATACCGGTATTTACCGGTATTTACCGTCCAATACTGGTATTTGGACTGATATTCTCGGTTTTGCATATACCTGCTATAGAATATTGGTTTTTAGTCCCTGTTTTATATAATACTGAAAAATTAATATATTGATATATTATCGCTATTTTTCGTATCGTTTTAAATTCCTGAATATAAAATAGTAGATTATGATAAAAGTTAAGTTTACCTTAGTCATATCCTTACAAGATAGGTAGAGGAAAGTAAAAATAACAGACTTTAAAAATGTTTTGTATGTATAATTTAATTTTGACGAATATGTACTGTTTTCATATGATTTGAATAATCAAGATTGTATACAGAATCTTATCATTTACTCATAATTAAAATGCAGAAATGTACTTTTGAATTTCTGTTGCTAATTATTTCTAAAAAAAATGAAAAATTTTTGACAATGACAGTATCTAACCTTAAAATCTTTATATTTTAATCTCTTATAACCTCAAGTTGCTTCACAGAGAATCGATTTCGGATTTTGTTATAAGTGTCTGAACATATGTAAGAATAATCTGTAAAATTTTTATTAAATTTCTAATATTTTAGAAATAAGTATTAAACATCCTTTTTGGTAATACGTTTTATTTTTCTTTTCCTGCAAAATAAAATTGTAAGTACTGCTCGAAAAATATAAATCTTCTTTTGTCAAAAAAGAAAATGTAATAGTAATTATTGAATGCATTTGTAATTCAGTCAATTTTTAATTCAGTCAATTTTTAATTGTCGTCCTTGTTCACTATGAATTCACTGCGAATCCGTTCCGTTATTAAAATACTGCATGGAGAAACGAAACGTATTCTGTATTCCATGCCATGCATTAAATACTCATGCGCTTCATGTAAGAAACCTTATGAATACTGGCCTAAGAGTTTGTAGCCATTATACTGACAGCTTAGATATACATAAGATGCGTTCAGCAATATAAATCTGAGATGCGAGCTAGTAGATGGCGAGCTCGATCACGTGATCTTCAAGCAATCCGAATGCCAAGAATTAATTCTGAACGCTACAGAACTGTGTGTAAACTGTTCTTTAAAGTTAGATTATAAAATGAAATTGTTTATTTTTATGAATAAATAAAATATAATACTCTATTAATTGAAAATGTCTTTCGCTTTAGAAACTGATAATAGTCTTATATACTATAAAAATAGATTGTTACACATGAATGGAGCAGATTCATATACAAGGTACGTTATCTTAAAAGAAAATACTACATTGCAAAATAAATTTCAGCAATTTATATTATTATTTAAGTTACATCACTTGATTTATATTTGTTAGTCTTTAATGTATTAATAAAGTTTGAATTTATTTTGTTTTCAAATGTGTAACTTCAAATTCATAAAGAAGAAAAGAATTAAAAACTTACTTTCCTCCTTAAATATTATACATAATGTACTCCATCAATTTCTATTTGATAGCATTTATTTAAGCGTTTGTAGACTCAGACATTATAATAGTTCAAATACATTATTTGTATTAGAAGTATTAAGAGAGATAAATGTACGTTATGTGTTAACGAATCAATTGGATACATTATAATAAATATACAGGTTATGAATTTAATTTAAGTTATGAATTTAAGGCGCGAAAATCTGCATTAGCTCTGCGAGCTCGGTCTTTGAGTCTGGAATGAGTCGAGCAGCTCTAGAAATGTTAATACTGAATGCAGATGAGATGACATATAGCAGAAAGATACTGAACGATTTTCGAGATAAAATAACAAACGAGTGCCTCTGATTTGCAATGCCGAACGCACACAGCTGCGATTGGATTCCAAATGGGATATTCGCCAGAAGTTATATCATCCTTATTGTTTACGAACGTTAAACAAGGATGACATGACACCCGAAGAGTAGCCAGATGGAAATTCGAACGCAGACCTAGAAGAACCATAGGTGATTGTCGATGGTATTAACATCTTTCCTTGTCTGAATGCTTCACCGTAATGCGCATGCGTCGATTATGAATCTTTAGATTTGTCGCGTCGCATACTCCAACATGCTCTTACCATAGTTCCTACTCATTCAATGAGAGTATTGAAGTGAGTAAGAGCTATGACAGGAGCATATTGGAGCATGCGACGTGAACAAATCTTTTATATGTACAGTCGGTCATA